AAAAGAATCGTGAATCTTTTTCCATTAAAGAAGCAAACCAAGACAGAGCACTTCTTCATAGTAGTGCGCCTATAAATCCAACATGATATTGAAAAAGGTGCAACCTTAGATAGAGCTTGATTTGTTGCAAAAATCCTCAAAATTTTGATCTTGTTCCATCAATCTTCTCAGGCATACTAATCCTTGTTCCTATCATACTTGTAGAAGCAAAACTCCCTGAATTTGGTTGTGACATTGATCTACTTGCTTCTTTCAAATGTACAACTTCTTATCATAGACTCTGAACTTTTAGGTGTAGGCATAGTATTTCCATGATTCACATTGGAAATATGTGAGATTTCCACTCTTAGAGTATTGACAAGCTCATGAAGATCTGCCATAGTTGCAAATGTATTCTCACTTCCATTGAAAGTAGCATCTACAATCTTTCCTTCTATAGACAACTCAAACAAAATCAAAAGTTAAATTAGAGGAGGATAATCCACAACCTCTGAAAACAAATCCCATAAAGAAGGATAATCCACTCTCTGTAAGGAAAAGATCAGTATTAGAAAATAAGATTTTTTGTTTAAAGGTGGGTAGTCCGCAACCTTCAAAACACAACAATAGAAGTGAGGTAATCCATTCACTTCTAAAACAAGCTAGAAATAATATGTTAACACTCTTGTCAAACTATCAAGGACATGAATATCGAAGAAATAGAATCCTCAATACACTCTTCTATCACTCATGAGAACTAAAAAGTCACTCAAAAGGTGATGTAATATTAACTAGAATAGCTATTGCCAAAAACAAGAAGACTAGAAAGTCTTAAAACAAGTCTAAGACTAGAAAGGCATTGACAAGAGTGAAGAAGGCTTCACTCTTGCCTCCATATATACTATCTAACTAAGAGTTATGTGGCGATGTCCTATAAGACCTCCAACATGTATTGACTTTGCTAGCCACATGTCTTATCTTTTAAGGCAAGTTATCTATGTTTGCACCACGTAGTTGGCTTGTTCTACAAGCTTTTACATGGAGATAACTTGTTCCACAAGCTACCAATACATGGTTAGCTTTTTGATCAAGTTTCTAACCTATAAACACATCTAAAGTCAAAACCGTGTCTATAAAGCTTCTAGGAAGCTTTTCTAGAAGACTTTATGAAAATATTCTATATTTACCTACTTCTACTTAATCATATAAGTAACTATTGAGATAAATATATATATCCGTGACAATCGGTAGTGAATTTACTATTCATTTTTTATGTGATAAGGCTTAAGAGTAAGTGTTATACTATCTAGAAATTTGAGAGAAACTGAATAGTTGGATCAAGAGATATGAATCTCTAAAGTTCAAGAAGAAGAAATCTTTTGCGAAAAAAATATGTTTTGAGGGGTATTGCTACAATTTGGATATTTTATATAAAGTGAAGAGGTTTTGGAAGCCAAGACTTTGTATATAAGTTAAAGGTGGAATAAATCACTTATTGGAGCTTAGCCAATAAGTTAAAACTAAACTCTCTATAGCTAGATATCCCATATATTCCTAGATTGCAAATCACACCATACAACAATGGCAAGCACGTAGGTCACAATATTCATTGCAAAATAGAGAGCGACAATGGAGATAGAATAAAATTTTGTATATAGTATATTTAGAATGTAGATAGACTTACCAAAGATAAAAAGTGCAATAATTATTTATAAAAAAGAATTGATAGTAAAAAAGAAACCCAATATGGAGTCAAAAAACTTCACTTGAATGATGTACCAAATCACAATAATAGAAAGGCTAAAGAGAGAGGCAAACATAAGCTCTGTGCATAAGAGAATCTTCAACTCCATAATTAGTTTGTCACATTTGTTGTGCTTAGTGTCTCTGTACGCCTCAAAGATGCTCTTTTTGTACTTAAGTGGAACATGTAGAAGGAACAGATATTAGCAATTGCTAAGAATTATATACAAGTTAGCTTTTATTAAAACAATGAATTTCAATGCCATACAAATTCTCTCAATGGGAATCACATTTGAAGCTTGAGTAGCTCCTTTGTAGTTTGAAAATTCTATTGTATATTTTATTTCTTTTTAAATATATATATATATATATATATATATATATATAAAGTATTTTTTGGCTCACAAAAATGTCTACAAAAAAAATGCTTCTTTGGAGTTAGACTTTCCATGACAATGATATGGATTTAGCCAGTTATTATTAATATATGTCACTATAATGATTATGTATATTAAACAAATTGATTTAGAAATAATAGAAAAGATTAAAATAACTAAGTATGAGTGATTTTATTAAGGTTTATTTTAAAACCTTCATTTGAACTCTTAAATATTCTAGAAGACTAATGAATAGTATTGAAATGAACATGTTGGATCTTTGGAAAAATTAAAGACATTCTTTTTTTTATCTTTTTATCTTTTATTTCAAAATCAAAAATTATAAACATAGTATGAAATATTTGAATCAAAAAAATTTCATTGAAATATTGATTTATTTAATTCAATCCTTACATATCTTCACATACAATGTATTTTTTTTTTTTTTAAATAACATGATATCTTCAAAACCAAGTGTAATAAAAACACACTTCAATAGTCAAAATCTCAAAGTTGATGATAATTTTTAAATATATACATTAAAGAAAATTTAAAAAATAAAAAAAATAAAATAGAACAAAGAAATCAATTTAGAAACTACTTTGTTAAGAATATATATACAATAATTTATTTATTTATATATATATATATACATTAAATAAATAATATCACCCATTTTTATACTATCCAAACATCAATTTCTAGGTAAACTAAAAGGCATTTAAAAAATACGTTCAACATAATTTTGGTTTTGTAGAATCCACCAACTACACTTTTACTGATCTCACTAAAATCTCAAGTGCTTTCTAAAGAACTTATTTTTTTTTATTGATAATTATTATTTTACAGATAAGACCGACAAGCTGAGAATGAAACTTATTATAACATAATTACATTTTTCTAATTTACCATTAAATATTGAAAATATTTTGAGTTTTGGTGGAAACCCAGGATGCTGAGCGGTGAAGCGAAACCCTAGTTTATCAAGAGGGTGAGGGCTGCCCTACTTATCCCAAAGACGCGACGTCAAGAGACAACAAAGGGGGCCATGTGACGCGGTGACAGGACTCGAGGGAGTCCGCTCATCGCGTCCCGAACTTCGACTATTCGCCAGTGTTTCCAAGCATCGCAAGCACCGCTACTTCATCGTAGAGGATCTTCATTCCCCTCCAGATACAACCCAGAAGCCCGGTTTTGCCAGTATCGGAACTAGATTACTTCTCGGTGCTTCGAACTTGTCGTGAGTTCAGTAGGTTTTTGTCGAGTTGACAACGAGACCGCCGAGCGTTTTCGAGCATCGCAACATCTGCTTCGCCGCAATCTAGACAACTATCCCGAAGCCTAAGATCCTCAACTGTTGGTTCTAGTTCACCTTTTCTTGCTTCGAATCTTCGAATAGGTCAGTGTGGTTAGTGGATTTTCTAGGAGAGAACAAGGAAAATGGTGAGAAGAAGCGAGAAGATCGCTATTGCAATCGGCATGGTGGGGGCTTCCTTTACGCTTCTTGCGTACAAGCAAACCCTCATGACTACCACGCATAGTATTTTGCTCGGTTTCGTCATCTCGATCATCGCGTTGGGTATCAAGGAATTCGACTTGATGGAGCCTGAGATTGTGGAGAAGAATGACTTGAAGAAGGATTGACGAATTGGGTCCTAACCTGACTCTGTCTCGTTTTGATTCAAGCACCCGACGATCGATCCTAGAGGTTCTGTAGTTTTGGTCCCTGGGATCGTTTTTGGTTTCCCAGTGTGAATTGATTCCTCACACGGGAAGCATTTGTACCATAGTTGTGCCATTCTTTCTCTGTGGGTCCTCGCAGAGTTCTTCTATGAAATTAGGATTCAATTTGGGCACTCTTAGAGCCTTTACTCAATTCTAAGAAGGTTATAGTTTGTTTCTCTAGGTGATGCATTTGCATTTGTGGAATACGGATACTTTTGCATATTTTTGCAAGTTCACCTAGCAGCATGGTGCCCGAATTTTGAGTGCTAAAAATTGGATGTGTGTTTTGGTTGCTTGTACATGGCACCATCGCGGATGATTTCCTGGAATGGTTTATGCAATTACAATACCTGGGTATTGCTATTCTGCAGACTCTGCTTGCAGTTTTTATTTTTATTTTTATTTTTATTTATTAATCTACTTGTATCATTTTATATTTTATTCATCTATTTGTATCATTTCGGGCTTCAGGGTTTATAGCTCGTCTATGTCCCAAAGAATTTACAGGCCTGGGAACTTGGGAAATCGAATGCAATCTTAAAAGAGTCTCGACTTTTCTTTCTATCTTTACAAGGATCATTGTGATGTAGCAGAGTTGCCATGTTTCAAAACTCTTGTTGTCAAAGTATACATTAAAAAGCCATTTACTTGTCAAAGTCGGCTGTGAACCATTAAAGTGTAAAATTTTACAGCATGTTTTATCAAGCATATTTCGAACAAACATCAAAGGGCGACGCTCACAAAACTCTTCACTGAACTGAAGGTTTGTTGGAGTAAAGTTCTTACTAATTGCATATCTGTTTGGTCCTTGACTAAACCCTCAGCGTGCTGAAACCTGTGTCAATTTTTTATATTTTATCAGTTCAAGGCGAACTTCCAGAACCGTGTATGAGCTGTTTTCTACTCGTCTGAGCCCCACCCCCCTTTCTTACTGAACTGCCCATTCTGTTCAAGAGGATTTTGTAATAGAGTGCAAGAAAAAAGTGTCTAAGTTTCGAATTAGGGTTTGACAGTTTGGGTGACCAATATTACAGATCAAGACGCTCAGACTGTATAGGGATTGAAAGAACAAAGCGTTCAGGGTGGAAGGTGAACAATAGGTAATGTGGAAGGTGCAGAAATCTGCCAACAAGATCGGTTTCCACTTCAATGTACACAAATCCAAAAATGGAAATATCAATGCAAATAGTTACAAAAGCTTTATGACAGTTTCATTGAACACAATTAATACATTTCAGAAGGTCTCAACATACAATCCAGGAAATTGAACTATACATGAACTATGAATAAACTCTGGGTTTACATCTTATCTAAGTCTACATGTAGTGATGGAATGGTGCTTCAGGCTGATTTTGTGTACTTGTTTCCGTTTCTACGTATTTCCTTGACAATGGTTGCGTCAAAAGAATTGCCACCAAGGGATATTCCTCTAGTCCAACGGTATAGCATTTCGAGCGAATTTTTGGGTTGGTCCATGGGCACCATATGACCAGCATTATGTACCTGAAAATGCAAACATTTCGAGGAGATAAAGAGACTTTTTCATAATAAATATTGGAAGAGCGAAAGAAGGCGAGTGTCTATTCATACTTTCAGCAGAAACTCAAATGTTCATTCTCAAAGACAATCAGAGACAGATAAGGGGGTTTCACAGTGAGGCTGGATAGCTTTCAGCCTTGGAAATCAGACCACTAAAAAATCGTCACCATGCTCCGGGAAATCAATAATGCGATTCATAGATGGTTCTCCAGAATAAATTCGAAAGCTTTTCAACAAATGAAAGATCGCGGCCTTAAACCCTATATTGTGAGTCAGAGAAAATGGTAGGAGTACCTTGAGGAATTGCAGAGGTCCATAGCCTGTTGTAAGTCCAGCTTCTTCACCATCAACTTCAAAGCTCTTCCAGCCAGCCTTGGCATACTCTACCTGACCTGACCAATCCATTGCTGTTACCCACCTAGAATTTCCTGCAACGAGCAAACACAGTGAACATGCTCAAAATCAGTGAATTCGCGTGGTCTTCATGAAAGACAGAATCAAAATCATGACAATTCCTGAGGGGACTGGCATTCAAAATTGGCCACAAGAAGGAAAAGATTTCAATGCTTTGGCGTCGTTGGTTCATGACACTAACCCAACCAGTTGCAGATCAGGTCATACTCTCCAGCATAGACAAGAAGTTCAATTCCATCCTCCAAGAGCCCTGGAATTCCCTTCTCGAGGTTCTTCATCACATCCACAATCATGGCGAAATAAACCAACGGGCTACATGCAACAAACTTGCGGTTTCCAACACCCAGAGCTTCTTTAGTTGTTGCATTGTTTAAGAATTTATCCAAATTGGAAAAGTCGTAACAAAGAGAGCTTTGGCACTCCTTTCTCACATCATAGTACTGCAGAAAATACACTTACACTTGAGACAATTACCCTCCAACGCGTTTATTGTACTATCAACACAGCATGAGGAACGTGCAGAAGAGACCTTTGTTGACTGTGTCTATAATACTGCTGCTCAAAACTGATAAAACTTACGTTGATGTTTCCAGCAATACCCAGGATAGAGGTAAAGATGCTCTGGCAGACAAAGGAAGCAGCAACACAACCAATTGTTCCCTTTGGACCTACACACAGAAAAAAATGATATCAATAATAATAAAAAATAGAAATACATAGAACAGAGTGTAAATCCCAAGTTCAGTTAAAGCTCTCAAATGAGAAACTGAACTAAGAAACATTAAGCAAGTGTGGCCACCTTTTCTAATTAAGTCATACCACAGAATTTGAGGGCTGCAGCACAAGCTAGATACAGTTTGCCCAACTTCTGGTGTTCCTCTTCAGTAATAAGGTTCATCTCAAGGGCATAGTCACCATACGCTTCATATTGAATGTCAGGTTGGGTTAAGCCATTTCCAATTGCAAAACCCTGCACAACAAACAATATGAAACAATATGACGAATGCTACGCCTCCACAAAAAATATATATATAACAGAATTTAAATGCTGACTGAGAGAAGTTGAAAGCATTGGCACCTTCAAGTCGATGGGAACACCCTCCTTGTGCTTCAACGCCCTGTGGAGGCGTCCAGCAACGGCAGGCACGTAGTGGCCCGCGTAAGACTCCCCAGTGACAAATAACTTGTTCTTTACAAACTCAGGGTGTGCTTCGTAAAATGCCTGTCACCGAGTACAAACAAATCGAAATTGTATTCAAACCTAAAGCATAATCTCGTCAGAAACTTCCAAATAGAATCATGTTCAAGTAACAGGTAGCCCAGAGGATTGAAGAGGGATGTCCCATACCTGAAAAAAGTCATACATATCTTCACTAACTCCTTCTTCGTCGTGGCGAATGTCACGTATATCAGTGCTATAACTAAAGCCCGTCCCCACAGGTTGATCCACGAAGATAATACTCGACACTTTGTCCCATCCGAAGTCATTCCAGACAAGGATGAGATTATCCGTGATCTTGAACGGACCATTCTCGTAAAATAATGCAAGTTCGCTTGCACAGCCGGGACCGCCAGTCATCCACAGCACAACAGGGTCATCTGTCTTGTTCCCTCGTGACTCGAAGAAGAAGTAAAACATTCTGTGGGTTATCCCAAACCCCCCACATCATCGTGTGCATCCTGTTAATCTCAACCCATTACTCTATACATCGTCAAAATTCGACAATCGGTGCTTAAAAGACCAACACATGTTATGCGGAAATAAGCTCCATTTCATATCGCATTGTCAAGCAAGCTCAACTACATATGAATTGGAAATTTCGGAAACATAATCGTGTGTCTCCCGTATCCACGTAGAGCTCAAAGTACAACAGGGCAACAAATGCTTACTCCAAACCAACGAAAATAATATTAATAATAATTAATTAAAACTCAGAAACCCAAATTAGTAAACTTACTTGGCAGCGTGAGTCCTCGCGAGCTTGAAGTACCCAGCATACTGTCCAAGCTCCTCGGTGCTAACCCCAGCATCCCCTCCAACGTCCAAATTAAGTCTCCTCTCCTGCAGCTTAGCACCATCAAATACCTCCTCCCCATCGGATACACTCAAAACATCCGGGAACAAGTTCAATGCCTTGATGAGACGCTGAGCTTGACCTTGCGGGTCAACCGAGCTCGTCGCGAATTCGGGGTGAATGCGGCCGGTAGAAACACCACAAATCACCGCCACAACGAGAACGTAGCTCAAAACTCTACCACTGCCTACACTGAAACTCATCGAACCCGAGCGATCGAAACTGGGGTTGGAATCACAATTACGCCTTTACACCGACTGAATAAGCACTGACTCTGGACCAAGTTGGTGGTTCGAAGGGCAGCAGAGAGCTTCATAACGTGCGCGACTGTAAGGTCGCAACATCATCCGAGCTGAGCGGCATGCTCCACAGACACGATGCAACACATGGATCGATGGACGGGGGGACGAGGGTATGCAGACAAAAAGGTCACTGTTTCATCCATAAGTCTCTTCGTCCAAGGTATCTCCTGTAAAACTCCGACCTTTATTCATCAATACATGATGGAGACAACCAAGGATGATGGGTGGATGAATACAACGTACTTAGTTGTGATGAAATAGATCATTGGGTTGTTTCTATGACCTTCAATTGTGTGACTCTGCTTGGATCCGTTGTGGCATTTGAAGCATTGAGATGGATGACCTATGTCTTCAACAATTTAATTATAAATTTTTTATTTCTTAAACTGTACAGTGAGTACCTCGAGTTTAAGGAACAGATTATATTTTAGAACACGAAAAATAATTGCAATCAAATTTTAAAATCTAGAAAGAAACAACAAGAAATTAGTGACTCTGAGTCTAGAACACAGCACCTTGTAAGACAAACAAATATGAGTATTCGTCTTCTCCGATGAACATATTTAAAAATTTAAGAGTAGGCACCGATTTTATAAATGAACATACTCAAAACCTTGCTCTCTCTATTTTTTAAAGTTGTATGTAAATGGAAAGAGAGGCAAGGGCAAAGAGAGTTGTGCAAAAGAGCAATAGTTGTTATTATTTTATTACTTCGGTGTGAATCATTTGGAGATGTATTGAAATTGTGATGGTGCAGTATTAGGCGTCTGAATGCAATGTATGGAACTTGCAAGCTCGATAATACAAGTTATGTTGCTGATATGATAGAATCTATTTTTGTGAAGCCTGACATTCATTCATTCTTTTTTTCTTTTTTGCCACATTTCTATTCAAGAACTAATTTTCAGCCATTCACCATTTGTCTGCAAAGTATATAGACATCCTCTCTCGATTAATCACCACTAATTATAAACCAGAAGAATTAGATATCCACCATTATGCAAGTTTTTACATTGTAACAACAAGATGTGACATTCATTTATTGATTGGGGAAAAGAATTGGGTATTTTATATTGTAAAGTTGTAAGATGACTCACCTTTTTTTACTTGGTTTTGGATGTACGATATTAAAAGTAGCTGGCAGTAAAGATGTCTTCAATCATGAAACCTTCACTGGGAGTAGAATACGAAGACCAGTTGAGAACTAGAATTTATTTTACCAGAGTGGATACTGAAGGGAAAAGTGCTTTAAGAGTGTTCGGCAGATATAAAGAAAACTACGGAAAGCAGCACAGGCAGCAATGTGAAGTGCTGAAATATGGTGTGAAAACTGTTTGGCAAAGAGCGCTGGGGGAAAACATAAAGGTAGGAGTGAAGCGATAGCCCGTACTCTGCGCTATCAGAGCGAGGTTCCGATCTTCGGACCTGTGGGTTATGGGCCCACCACGCTTCCGCTGCGCCACTCTGATGAAAGATATACGATATGGCACCATTCGTACACAGAAAATTTAAATCTTGGACCGATCGACGTGAACCTCCGATTAACAGGTAGGGTTTCATCCAATGTGCGTTTAACTTCTAGTGTGCTTTGAAGTCTATTAAAACACTCATGTTCCTTTCAAAATTCAATTTTTTCATTCATAATATCATTCTAAAACCTTTATGTTTTCCCCCAGCGCTCTTTGCCAAACAGTTTTCACACCATATTTCAGCACTTCACATTGCTGCCTGTGCTGCTTTCCGTAGTTTTCTTTATATCTGCCGAACACTCTTAAAGCACTTTTCCCTTCAGTATCCACTCTGGTAAAATAAATTCTAGTTCTCAACTGGTCTTCGTATTCTACTCCCAGTGAAGGTTTCATGATTGAAGACATCTTTACTGCCAGCTACTTTTAATATCGTACATCCAAAACCAAGTAAAAAAAGGTGAGTCATCTTACAACTTTACAATATAAAATACCCAATTCTTTTCCCCAATCAATAAATGAATGTCACATCTTGTTGTTACAATGTAAAAACTTGCATAATGGTGGATATCTAATTCTTCTGGTTTATAATTAGTGGTGATTAATCGAGAGAGGATGTCTATATACTTTGCAGACAAATGGTGAATGGCTGAAAATTAGTTCTTGAATAGAAATGTGGCAAAAAAGAAAAAAAGAATGAATGAATGTCAGGCTTCACAAAAATAGATTCTATCATATCAGCAACATAACTTGTATTATCGAGCTTGCAAGTTCCATACATTGCATTCAGACGCCTAATACTGCACCATCACAATTTCAATACATCTCCAAATGATTCACACCGAAGTAATAAAATAATAACAACTATTGCTCTTTTGCACAACTCTCTTTGCCCTTGCTGATGAGTGAAAATAATCGTGTCTAAGTGACCTTTCTTGTACAACAAAGTTTTTTTTTAATCTATTGTCTTTAATTTATATATATTTAGGATGTGCATTCAATTTTTTACTTTAGAGTTTAGGATTTTTTAGTTTTCTGCATAAATAATTCATCTGTTTTTTCACTATTGTAAAATCTTTGCTTCTTTAGTTAGTAGATTAACTGTATGTTGAAGAACATGTATTTTCAGTGGCTATTGCTTGTAGGGTGGATAGAACTTTTGAGTAACATCATGGTCAATTTGAATTTGAATTTAGCACAGGATCCAATAACTTTCTCTAAATTATCCTATGTATTCAAAATTCTATTTTTGACAGATTTAATACTTCAATTCTTTACAAAGACAAAAAAAAAGTTAATTGTTTACACAGAAGGAACTAACATCTTTTTTTTCAGTAGGATACATATTAGTTTATATTTTTATATATTTAAAAAACGAATACACAGTTTTGTACAAAAATAAATAGAAGATAGAACTTTGATTTTACAAGAAATTACAAGCAATTACAACAGTTGCCAGAAGAAGTGCTTCTCCTCCTCGCGACCGGCAACGTGAAGAAATGGAAGCTCATGAAAGGAAAATTAGCAGGTGGATTGCTCTCTGATGGGAGAGTGACCACTCCTGATTGATTAAGAGGGTCCAATCTCTCACCTGGGCTATGACTATGAGCGCATATATTTACATTCAACAATGACCCATCTAGCGCAAGATGAAGACAATCTTTTATGAGCTTTTGGGGCGTTCTAAGGTGATGAAACCAAACAAGATCCGGAGCCTGCTGTCGCCGACTCACCACTGAAAAAAAGAAACCCTAAAACTGCCTCCTTTACCATCATCCCCACATCGTTCTCGTTCTGGTGATTGAAATGGACACACAGTCTATCACATTTCTTCTCCTGCGGCATTGACAGCTCGTGCGAAACCAAAACTTGACGTGAATTGCCTCGTTTTGGCAGTTGTTGAAATTCCGAAAAGCCCATCTAGATAGTCTGCGTTTGTTATCGTTGTATCAATTTGAGACCTATTGAAAGGAAAAGCATCCACTCTCTGCGGACAAAACGCAACCGTCCGCGCAGACCTTGAGTGAAGTGGGCATCACGACATGGCAGATGCTAATATTGAGGGAAATTGGGCTAAGAGTGTCTGCATGCGGAGTCGCAAGAGCTGGGCAGTCTGCCCTTAACCAGATGTATGATGTTGCTCGAGTCTTGCCTCAAAGATCTCCTCTCCCAATTGCACAGAATCCGGAACCTTTTATTCACTCCAAACTTTTCTCTACCGGGTAGCTGACGCAAAATTTGATACCAAAATGAACAGAAGCTCTTGATGGAACAAGTGCCATGCAGAAGAACTCCTTCTGTCTCCGTTTTAATCGTCGCTTTCATCAAAAGAAAAATGGCTAATTGTAAAGTTCTGACAACTCGTCTTAATAAAAACGAACATCATACTTGTAAAGAATCTCTTTTCTCTGTAGATCTTCCGTGGCTTCCGCAGGGTGAAATACTTGCGCAGCACACCTGAATGTAAAGTCTGGAGTGATTGTGATTTAGGAACCCCCACGCAGGAATTAGTAACCCTAATTGTTGTAATGAATTGTGTGGGCAATTGAGCGAGAGAGTGTACACTGATTCGGTTTTTATCGTGACGAATGAAAGTATTCGCTTCACACTAGTTTTATACCTTCACGGATTTGTTCGGACTGGGTTCTGGGAAGAAGGCTTTTGTCCTTCGTTTTGGAACTGTGGCAAACTTGCACGCTCGAATGATGTTTTCGGTTGTCGAGTCTTTCGTCAACGTTGGAGATAGGTGCATTCATGTGCAGTGGCTCACTGTCAGCCGTGACTGAGAGCACCCATCATCTTCATCTATTTCGGGTTTCTGAACCAGACCCTTATCTTAAACGCTAATTCCAAGGGGGTTAGATTTGATTTGTTTTGTTTTGTGTTTGTTTGTTTGTTTTTTTTGTTTTTTCATTTTTCATATACAATTTTTTTGTCCCCCTTCTTCCCATGGCTGTGATGCGATCTCTGCATAGACGCAGGCACGGATGCTTCACCAGTTTCCGGCATTGAGCCACTGGTTCAAAATTTCTTGTTGTTACAACGTCGAAATCCTTTGTTGACATCAGGGATTGGATTCGGAACGCCTGTGGTCTGATCTGTGCATTGCATTTGTGGCTGCGTCATGAGATTGTGAGGCTCTTCAGTCCGTGAAGTTCCTCGATCCCCCTCGCATACTTCGTCGTCGTCGTCGAAGAAGAAGAAGTTGAATCCCTGCCTGGACACAGATCAGTCCACTTTGTCAGTGTCGGTAGCGGTAACAGTGTCTGTGTCCGTGGGAGCACCCTCATTGGATAGCCCCGCATACAAATTATCAAATTCAATTACTATGCACCCACTCATGCTTCAAAAAAAATAAAAAAATAAAAACACAAGTAGAATGCTTGTTTAATGCTTGTCTATCACATAATCAAAACTGCTAGGAAACAAACTTTTTAGGTGGATGTTAATATCTTGTAGCTTGCGCATTGTTATGGAATTATTTTTTAATATTTTTTATTGAGATATTTGTGGAACATATTCTATATCTGACATTTTTATTATGTTGCTATTGATACTATTCTTCTTTCATAAGTACCATTATGTTGCTTTAAGATTTAAACATTTCATCTGATTTTTATTTGAATTTATAAGTAGACAGATCTAATGCCATTTGCTTGTGTGGACAATATTTTAATTGTATGATTCTACCTACAAATTTCTTTACAAAGTCGTGTTGATTATTAAAATATTTAATACAATCATGGATTGTTAAAATTTTAATTAATTCTATGCATAACATGTTACCACCATTGGTTAAAATTGCAAATGGCAGTTTAATGTGATTATCAATAATGACTTGAAAAACCACACAGCTTTCTTTTTTTGAATATTGATATTATGTTTGTAGTTTGTTTTACAAAATCACCATATTATGATTAATTAAATAATTAATAATTAATAATTTATTTTAAAATTAATATTTTAATATCTCATAATTGAAGTTATAATTACTTTTATCTTTTATTTTTTTACAGTTAGATAATTAAAAAAAATTGCACCACCAAAACCAATAAGTTAAAAATTGTTATTTTAAAACAATATTTGATTGTTTCTTTACATTATTTTACAAACGAAATCATATAATTATCTTTAAAAAATTAATAATATTTTATTATTTTTAAATTTCTAATTAATATGTTATAGGACTACATTATTTTTTTTAATGTTTAAAACATATCTTAATCTATTCTTATACTTTTCTATCCATAGTTTTATTTTTATTTTTTATTTTTTTGAAAAAAAACAACATATATATTTTTAAATTTAAAAATAATGTAATATTTTTCTAACTTTAAATTAATAATTTTATATACAAATAAAAAAGTTTAAATTACTCTTGAAAAATAAAAAATTTTCGTCTTCTAAAAATATCTTGCTTTTCTAATTACTATTCAATTTGATTATTTTAAAAGACTTCTATAAAAATCTTATTATTTAACAATTTTTAGTTAATTTGTTATAAAATTGTCATATAATTTTATGTTTATGTATATTAACATAATAGAAAACATATGGTATTTAAAATAATAAGATTTTTTCAAGTACTTTTTAATTTTTTTGAATCAATATCTCAATTTGGTATAAGATTTATTCAACATATGTAAGAATCATCCAAAATTTTATTTATTACAATTTTTTCATCAACTTTAAAATGAACTAATCTTAAAAAACAAAGCCATATATACATATGTATGTATGTATGTATATATATATATATATATATATATCCACACTATGTGCATTACTTTTAAAATAAAAATAAAAAAATATAATTTCTATTTATTCTTATGATAAAAACTATTAAATTTTAGAGATTTCTATTAAAATATTGGTTTAATTTTATTTATATGTGTATAAAATAATATTTTAAAAATTATTTTTGTGAATCTATTTTTTTATTAATAATAATCTAAAACTTATAATTTCTTATAAATCTTGCATTTTATTAAAAAAATAGAATAGATTCAAAATATTAAAAATAATAAATGTATATATATATATATATATATATGTATGTATGTATATATTAAAATAATCCCATCTTGTTAGTAAATTTATCCACCTTATTGTAACCATCATTAAGAACATGGATCATCTTTAAAAACTATCATTAAAATCATAGTCTTTATTCAAATGCACTTGTTTCCAATCTCACTTTCTTTAATCCTAATCTTTATCTCAACCTATATGTTCCTAGCCCCATTACTTTGTTCCTAGTCTTCATTCCGATGATACCTACTCCCTCCTCAATCTCCTCCCATTCCTCCTATTCTCAGCCTTGATCCCTCCATTCCTAGCACTCTTTCCTAGTCCTTGCCCTCATCCCAATCCTAGTCTCTATTCTAAATAACAAGTATAAAAAATATTATTTTTTACATTTGAAGACTAGAACAACTTAAACTTTGGATTAAACGTAGAATACAAGACCAAACTTTGGATTGAAAAAAATATAGTCCATACTACATTGACAAGTTGTACAATATCTTGCAACTTATAATGTTTGCCTCATTTCAAATTGCAAAGTATAACATTGGCTACAATGTTATCTTCACATTTAATTATAAACCTCTATGTTTTCATAGAATGGCAACACTTTTGAAAGCAAAATTGTACAAGATTACGCTTATACTTTAGATATTGAATTGGGACCATATCCTCTTTTCAAAATCTCTGGTATAACATAGAATGCACTTCCTACCACATCTTTGCACACTTCACTAGGTTTAAAGAATGTCAACAAGTAGAAGTCTATTGCCTTTAAAGGTGACTTGCTTGTTCAGCAAAAGATAATTTTTAGGCTTTAAATTGCAATGTGTGATATCCAAAATATGGCAAATTTCTAATGCTTTATCTTCAAATGTACCTTTAATTGCTACAATGTTGAGATGAGTTCAATATCAAAAAGATCATTTATTATCAATTATAATTCAAATTATCACTAAAATATGTTTATAGGATAAAATCAATATTATTTATTAAATGAGGTCACAGGTTCCATATACCATATAAATGATGTATGATTTGGAATTCTTTACAAACATTTTTATCATTGACTTTTAACTTAAGCTTTTTCTTCAAAATAGTCTTACAAGCATAATCATCATATGTGCTATTTTTTGATGCACAAATAGCTAATGCCAAGATTTTGAGCACCCAACTTCTTTCTTAGAGTGTAAACATATAGCACTTACTTAGTGACGAGTTATTAGATATAAACAATTAGATATTATTTTTTTGATCCCAGACTAAAAACATGGAGTATGAGGGGTTGAGGTGAAGGCTAGAAACAATGGTTAGGAACAAAAGGGATTGAAATGAAGGTTGAAAACATATAAAGTGGGAACTTAAAACAAGAGAAGTTAGAATAGAAGATAGAAACAAAAGATGCTAGGGCTGGAAATAAGAGAAGTTAAAATGAGAACCATAATTTTAATAATGGTTTTTGGAGATGATCTATTTTTCTAATGGTGGTTATAATAGGATGGATTGATTTAGTAGATATGTGAGTCACTTTAGCATTTTTTATTTATTTATATATAAAAAAATATACATATACATATTAGTATATGTAATTTAAAAAAAATGATATATGAAAGTGAAAGCATATATATATATATATATATATATATAAGTGAATATATTGTAAGTTGTAGAATTTTTTTACTAATTTTTTTAAATATCACAACTTCATATTATTTAGACAAAATCAATCGGTTATTGGCAATATAAGAAGTTTCATTATTTTTGTTGTATTATATAGATTTTAGTTTAAAAGTTCATTAGTTATCTAGCTATAAAAGAAATATTTCAATGTCATAAAACCATTGTGTAATCAAATAAATAAGATATTTAAAAACATATTTTTTCAACAACCTCAACTAACATTGGAATACCTTAAATCATGTCACTCCCTTGAACAAACTTATAGTCCTTGTCACAAACCATCATTGCACAAATCCAAAACTTCTTTGGAGAACTAAGAAAGATTTTAAATTGATTCCAAGTCCACCAATGATGAAAGCAGTGGATTCCAAGTCCGCAAACTTTACAAGGATGAAAGCAATGGATTAGTGTGATGGAGGTTGTGGTTTAATCCATCTTTATAGACGGTTTTGCTCAAAGCTACGCCTTGATTCAAGGGTCAAATGCAAAAACATCTTTGTTAATTATTATCAGTTAAACCATTGTGGCATTTTTTTTTCTTCTTTTGGAGCTCATCAAAACCATAATTATTCACTTTATTTATTTATTTATTTATTATTATTATTTTCCAACAAAACCACCTTGAGATAGGTGAAAAACCTTAAGTTATGGTTCAAGGTATTCCGACTTTATCTTAGCAACCCTACATCCAAGCAACTCTAAATCCTATACCCTATCCATTTAAAAAAATATACACTACTATTTTCAAATTCTGAACCCTAGATCCTAACCCTATCAAATCTTAAATCCTGCACCATGTCAAACTTTGGATCGTAAAAATCCTTAAAGCCCTCACGAACCACAACGAAACCTCTATTAATAAACTGTAAAAGATGTAAAGCTTGATAGGATTTTTAGAGTTCCCTCAAGATTTCGAAAGTCGGTAATGTGCGTCTGTAGTAAAGAAATGGGACAAGCGAACTCCATCTGCATGAGTCTTAAAAAGGAAACCCATGAGCCGCCGTCATTAGATTCTGCGGACAGTGGAGCCTCTGTTGCAACAGTGTCGGTACTTACCGAATAACAGTCGAAGCAGTAACAAACAAAGATTCAAATAAAACAAAACTGTATTTTACTCGGATTGCCTCCTGCCCCTGCCCGTCGTTCCTTGTGGATGGACGACGACATTCATTCGTCTGCAAGCGGTGCCGAACTTGCCCTGCGCCTGGCCAACATTTTTCTCTGATTACAAAACATAGAGGCATTACATATAACTCTTTGTTGAAAAGAAAAATATTATAATGTTCTATAAAAATGTGAAACTATATTAATGCTCCAAAATCAAAGTCATTAGCTTGTTCAAAGTAGAATCAACAAACATAAACACTGGTTTTGTAAATTTGAAAATATTTATAACAATTAAGAAATAATATAACATGCAAATTGAAATATTGGACTCTATAAAATCTTATATGTTGGCATTTTTACATAGAGGAAGCAGTGTAGTGTTTTCTGCATTCTTTTGCGTATAAACTTCAATGCAATCATCTTTCCATTTAACAGACTTACTTAGATGGATGATGGCGGATGATGGCGGATGAACGAAGGGCCGATGAAACTTGAAGTTAAGAGTGGCAACTGAGTGTCTGCAAAATCGGTAAATAAGCGTCTGACCATCTGCTTTGGCAATATTCTAAATCTGGCACTTCCAGCTGAAGAATAGCTCCATGGGAGAGCAACATAAATAAGTGGCTGGTCGATCAAATGGTCGTTCGTTTAAACACATGTTCCTCTGCACCTGAGCAGCAATTTGGTATTGAAGACACGGCTGACAACACAGGTTACGCTGCTTGCTCTCTGGATTCTGATGCACAGTCCAAAGCCTTCGGCTCCTGGTTTGGTCTTGTACGTTGATCAATGCAAGTTTTTGTTTTGTTTTGTTTTTTGTTTTTTGTTTTGTTTTGTTTTTTTTTTCTTTTCTTCCTGTTGAAGCTGAAATGTGTGGAGCATGGTTGAATTCGTTTGCAGGGGGACTTAGGAATGGCTTCGGTGGGCATGTGGGCGAGGTGGTAATGCAGGACTTCCCTGTGACCATAGACCCACGAACGAGCCGGGTAGCACACAGGGACGAGTACGAGGTGAAATATGTCGTCACTAAGAGTTGGTGCCTGTGTAGTTGCCTATGTAGGAATAGCAACTGGTCCATCACGGAATTAGACAATACCAGGACTCGTTACACGATGTGTCCACCCTCGTCGCAAGATGCCCAGAAGTTCAAAATTATGGACAACGACCGAAACTTGATTCTGACCATTCAAAGGACGTCGAATGAATCGACAACATGGAGGATTAGGAGGAATGATAACGGCCCTCTGGTGGCGACCTGCAGAAAAATGGACGCGAAGAACGCGGATGTCATCAACGCGGAGATGGCCTCGAACACCTCCGCCCCCCGTACGCTCTACCTGCTGATACACAGTCTCAAAAAAAAGGAACTAGTCATAGCCAGTGGTAACGACATTTTGTAAAGTAGTGTCATACGTGTGTGGTCTCTTTTGAAACTAGTGAGTTACTCGTGAGAATGAATAACTTCTCTCTCGAATATAATAGTGAAAGAGACAGGAAGTCTTGGTGTGTGTGTTGCTCTGTGCATTTTGTAATGTTTATTTGAAATAGAGAGTGTGAGTTGTTGTTATAAACGGTATAGAGTGTTGTGAGACAAAAGGTTATGGGCCTGTTGCTTAGAAGCTGGGCAAGATTGATAAGTTCTTTTGATATCTTTTCGTATTGTAGTGTTCACAGAGAAAATACATACAATTTAGATTCTGCAACATAAGTTCACAATTATAGGTCACAATTGACACTTTCTTGATATTTTTGATTTTCTTTTCCATCATTCTCTTCTTCTTCTCTTCACGTTTTCCTCTTCAGAATTTATATTCACAATCTCTTGAGCATGTCACTTGAAAAACACTTGATTGGTATTCAGCGTTTCAATGGAACAGAATTTCACATTTGGGAATGGCAGATTTGCAATCTATTTTGTGCTAAAGGTTGTATACAACACATAGATGGTACTGTTGTGTATGATTTTGATGAAAAAAAATAGAAAGATCAAGATTACAATGCTTATACATTACTTACTTCATCAACTAAGCAAAATTCTTAGTCCTTCTAACTTGTACTACCACACAAGAAATTTGGAATCAACTTCTTGAAGAATATGAGCATAAGACCAGCACAAACATATACAAATCATAGCATTAATTTTTTGATGCTAAAATTAAAAATAGACAAATAATGTCCAATTTTATTGCACAACTTCAACTTATTATCAACAAATTACAGAAGCTTGGTGATACTTTTTTTTTGACAATTTCATGATATCCAAGCTTATTGCTAATTTTCTTGTTGGTTTCTATGGTTTCACTACCACTTGAGAAAGTACTTCAAGAGAAGATTGAATATTAGCTAACCTTAAACTTTGATTACAAAAAGAAGAAACAAAACTTTTATATTGACTTTATCAAGAGATTACTTCTGAAACCAAGGCTATTTATGCAAGTTATGGCCATCTATTAATAAATAAGAATAACAAAGATTCATTGCCTAGTAGGAGCATTCTTTTACGTGACTTTAATCCTAATCTGTCTCTTTTTTTTTTTTTTTTTTTTTTTTTCAATTTATCATACAATAATTCTTTTCTACATTTTGCTCCACGCTTTCTTATTCTATTGTACTTTGTATCCTTCTCTTAATTGCTTTTATTGCCAAACAATCACATCCGATATTTTTTGTTCACAAATTTTATAAAGCCATGAACTTCTTGAATTCAAACATTATACATAATACAATAGTTTTGGACTTTTTGACCATTGGTAGAAAAAGTATTTATGAAATAAATTTCAATATTAGCTATCAAGTTTACATTCTAGTCTTTCTACTCAAGTTACTTTTGTTGAATTCATTGATTCTACTATATTTTATCCTTGACCAAAATTCAATATTCCAATGATGAGTTTTATTTGTAAAATCCTTTTCATGATAATTCATATGTTTATTGCAATCAATTTTGTTTTCATGATCAAGAAACACATTGCTCTGATTATTCTAAGAACATTATCTATGCATAAAATAAATCAACTTTTGGTGGTTTTATTAGTAGATGGATTGATAACAATAGAATTATAAAACATATGAGAAATCAATTACAATAGATCACCAATTATAAATCATTATCAAGTTAAGCTATTTGGTTGGCTAAAATCTCAATTGGTCACACATACTATATTATAAGTATCAGTGATATCAAAATCTTAATACAACTATCTTTTGGAACCAAAGTTCATCTTCTTCAATATATTCTTTATATTCCAAATTTTGGCCAAAATTTTTTTAGTCTTACAAACATAGTAAAAAAATATATTTTTTTTATTCTTTGTAAAGACCTTATATATGAGCTTATTCAAGAAAATCAACTTATTATGATTGGCCATATCTGCCAAGATTCATATAATCTTGACTTTATTATTTTGCTTCATGCATCTATTATTTCTTACACAACCTCATATAAAAATATGTTATCATAAAAAGAATTACAAGATGTAAATACATAGCACCTATGCCTCAGACATTTATATTATAACATGTTAAAACTCATAGCTACAAATGGTTCTGTCATTGTTATTAAATTCAAGAATATTATTTTTTTTAAAATTTTATCTAAATTTATATTTAGCAAGTCTCACTTGACTTCATTTTTACAAAATATTATAAGAATATAATTTTTTTATTTGCAATGCTTCTTTATAATAATATTTGTAGTCACATGAATGTACCATCTCATAATGGTTCTTTATATTATATTCTTTTTGAAGATAATTTATTGTAGATACATAAATTTACTCTAATAATTACCTATATAATTAAATAGAAGTAAATAAAAATAGATTAATTTTATAATATCTTCTAAAAAAAGCTTCTAAAAAACTTTTTAGATGTAATTTTGACTTTATAAGTATTTGTAGTTGATTGATAGGTTAGAAATTTAGTCAAAAAGTTAATCACATGTCATACATGGTTGTAGATTATGGAACAAGTTAACTTTGTGGCGTACATATAAAAAACTTACTTTACAAATTAAGATACATATAAAGATAAAGTCATCACGTATTGAAGATTCTACAGAATATTGCCGAATAGCTCTTAATTAGATAGTATATATGGAGATAAGAGTGAAGTCTTCTTTATTCTTGTCAATGTCTTTTTAGTCCTTAGTCTTGTTTCAAGACTTTTTAGTTTTCTTGTCTTTGACAATAGCAATTCTAATTTAATATTATATCATCTTTTAATGATTATCTAATCTTTTTGAGTGACATAAGAGTGTCTTGATCTTTCAATTCTTCAAGATTCATATCTTTGATAATTTGATTAGAGTACTAATTTATTATTCTTATCTTATTTTAGAAGTGAATAGATTTTTATTTTTATTATTATAGTTTAAAGGTTATAAACTACTTATCTTTAAATAAATAGTTTAATTTTTTAATATTTATTTTTTATTTAAAAAAATTTAATTATCTTTTTTTGTAGAAATTTTTGTTTAATATTAAAGATTTTGGATAATCCTCCTCTAATTTAACTTTTTGAATTTATTTGAGATGTCTATGGAAGAAAAAATTATGGATGCTACTCTTGGCAGATTTGAGAATAGATTTGCAACTATTACTGATCTTTATAAGATAATCAATATTTTTAGATAGAAATCTTATATATTTTAAATAAAAATCATAGACGTACTATTTCTACTTCCATAGAAGAAATCTATAGTAAAGTTCAAAATCTATACTAAAAACTTGTGCAATTAAAAGAAACAAGTAGATCAATTTTATAACTGAATTTGAAAAGTCTTACTACTATAAATAGAAGAGAGACAAGAATAAATATGCTACAAAATTTTTATGGAATAAAATCAAAGTTTTGATGGTTTTTACAACAAATTAAGTTCTATCTAAGGTTGCATCTTTTTCAATACCCTGATAGATTTATTCAAGTTAGATTCACAATTTTTTTTTGGAAGTAATATTTTTTTGGTTTGTATTTTTGATAGAAAAAGATTCATGACTACTTTATGATTTGAATTCATTCTTAGAAGTATTTAGAGCTATATTTGAAGAAAGTGATAAAAAAGGGTAGTAGAGACCAAACTCATATTTTTACAATAAGGATCACATTCAACCACCATATATATTGCTAAATTCTAAAATCTTACTTACAACATGGATTCAAATGACAGCCATTATTAATCAATTTTGATATAGATTGAAAGATAATATCAAAGATTTATTGTTGATAATGTCAAGTAGAGATTCAAGGAAGTAATTTATTACTCAAGCCATTATACATAACAATTGACTCTTTGAATGATGCAAAAAACAAAGATTTGATTGAAGAGGTATAAGTCAAGCCATGGCAATACCTTCTAAGTTTTTGGAAGCTTATTCATCCACGCCAGAGCCTATGCAAATTAACACAATATGTTTTAAATCTCTTACTTAGTAAAAAATAGACTTATGATTATCAAGAAGATTTGTGCATATATTATGGAGAACCTAATGACATTGCTCAACATTATCCAAAGAAAGAATGCAATTACAAAATGAGCATGGTGGCTAAAAAAGACAATATATCAAAAAATAAATTTTTTGGTTACAATAAGAACCATGCAGTTAGAATCCTATGCAATACCTAATAATGGTCCTATTTTCTCTTCAAATCTTTTCCCTTGTTTTATAATAGAGGCATATTTAGGACCTAAAAACTATAAATTCTTTGAATTATTAGATTTAGGAGCCTTGGCTTGTTTTATAGATAAAGACTTTGTCAAAGAATAAGAGATATTGTTAGTCAAGAAAATTAAATTCGTACATATAGAAATTATAGATAGTTGTTTGTTGTCTTCTAAAGATATTATCTATGAAATTATTCTTTTAGATGTAGTAACTAAAGATTATAATAGCATAATAATATTTAATGTAATAAGATCTTTTTTTAATGTGATTATTTTATGATTATCATGGTTAAAAATATATATTCTTTAAATAGGCTAGATTTTTTATAACCTTGATTTTTTTCATAGTTTAGCCCAAGATTCTACTTGACAAATAAAAATTTATAAGTTCAATATGTTCAAATCTTTATTAATAGGTACAAGAACTTTTATGCATGTTACAAAATTAGTATCAACTTTTGCTATGTATTCTATACCTATTATTGATGGAAAAAATATTTTAAGTAGTATTCCAAGCAAATACCAAAATTATCAAGAAGTTTTTGAAAAAAAGAGTGTAAATATTCTTCCAAAGTAATGTTTCTATGATTGTTTAATAGATCTATAAGAAAGAGCTCAACCACCATTTGGACCAATCTAAAGCCTATCATAGAATGAATTGGTTGCACTCAAGTAATACATTGATGAGAATTTGGCTAAGAATTTCATATACCATTTTAAATCTTTGGTTGAGACTCTTATCTTATTTGTGAATAAAAATGATTGATCTTTGTAGATGTGTAGGAACCATCAAAGATTCAATAAGATCACCATCAAGAATAGGTATCTTCTACCTTTGATTTCAAGACTTTTTGATCAATTCAATCTATTAAAGATTTATACAAAAATAAATCTATAAAAAGCATACAACTTAGTATGCATTAAAGAAGAAGATAAATAAAAAATTATGTTTCAAATTAGGTATAGATATTTCAAATATAATGTCATACTATTTGGATTCATAAATATATCAATTACTTTTAACATCTAATGA